CCTACAAACTTCAAAACCAACCAAACACAAGAAAAGTAGGAAATGTCATATTAACAAAAGTTTTCTTTTTTTTTCTATGCGAACCAAACACAATAAAAGTAAATACATTGGTTTCCCACCATTTTTTATGTGCGAACCAAATTGAAACAAACTATTTCTTGGAAAAATTTAAAAAACTCAATAATTATGTTTCTTTACATGGAATTGCATTTCATTATATCTAGAAAACGAACCAAACAACCCCTAACAATAAATTAAGTTCGAGAAATGACTTTTTTGCACGTGCGTTATGCACATGTTTGTGATCTAATATTTTGAGATATTTTATTCCACAACGTAATATTCTCAAATTAGTCATCCAAGCTATTTAAGTTACACCACACAAATTGTTAATCGATCTAAAACTTTTACACCACCATCAATTAGTTTTCCTGGATAGTTGACTCGATAAATGATCTAGAGAGACTGAGAGAATGTTGCTTCGGAAAGAAATATATAAAGATAATCACTAATGAATATAACTAATTTCGTAAATCAAACTTTACTAGAAATACAATAAAGACTTTCTTAATATAACTTACATAAATTGAAAGTTTACTTTGAAAATCTAACTAGGAAATGCATTTCAATATATAAATAATCTGGATGAGAAAATTAGAAAAAATGATAAATGTCAATAGCACGGACATTTTTTGCTCAACACCCAGAAAGTTTAAGAAATTATTTAACTCCAACCAGTTTTGTTGGAAAACCCTCAAAATTAACTCAGTTAGTTCTGACATATCATATTCAAATGCTATCAATTCTACCTTTTTTATTAAAAAAGTCATCACGTTCTCTTTTATATTTTTTCATGCTAGACTCACTTTTGCCTCTTCTTTCTCCTACTCTCTGCTGACGTCTGTTCTGAAGTCGGTTCTCTCCATCGCTGCAAATCATTTCTAGTGATTCCAGCCTTCAACCTCTAAATTAACACTTTTTATGTAACGCTGTCACGTGGGCTAAGCTTAAAAAAAGGCACAAGTTTAGTTGATTTTTTTGGTTTTTAAAGTTAGGAGGAAGGTAGATGAAATTTTCAAATTTAGTTTTGGGGTTAAGTGAAAACCTCCAACATTTCGCAAAATGGGTTATTTAGATACTATAGTCAGGTTGGTTTTGCTTTTTTTAATAGGGTATTTTTGCTTTTTTTTTAATAAGCTGCTAATAATAGTATTCGGGGAATTTTTTTTGAAACGCTTGTTGAAACTGCTTCTATTTTTAAGATGCTGTTTTTAGAAAAATATGAGGATACTTTTAAAAATAGTTTTAGTTTTTTTAGTTTATATACCCTATATACCTTTTTATCTTTTGACAATGACCATTAAGCACAATTCTATCAAAAACCTTAGGTACCGTTTGGCAAAGGGTTAAGTGAGGGGTTAAGGAGACTTAACCCCTTCTTAACCTGCCAAACACAACAAATCTATATAAGGGTTAAAGTGAGTTAACCCTCCATAATTTGCCAAACATAAAAAATATAGAAGGATTAAGTTAACCCCTCTAGAATGGTTAAAATGAGTTAACCCCTCAAAATGAGGGGTTTACTAATACTCCTATTTAGATGGAATAAGAGTTAACCCTTCTAATTATAAAGAAAATAGTCAAAATCATTGTTATTCCCAAACACTAAAACTGATCATAAGGGCTAAAATAAAACTTATTTAACGGGTTAATAATTTAATCATTCGGATTATCAAATGGGCTAAGTACATTAATCATTCTCTTTAATCCCTTCTTCATTAACCCTTTGCCTACTTTGCTTGCTTTGCAAGGTACTTTTATATTTCATTAGGAGACGCTTATTTTTACCAGCTTATATAAGTTGCTTCTATAAGCAACTTATTATAAGCTCTAGTAATACCAAACTCGTACTTAGTCCCCTAAATATTCAATAATTCTATATTAGTCCCTTAGAACCTATGATTATTGCAATTTTGTCCCTCAATGAACAATTTACCCTTATGTAATGGTTTTTTGGAAGGGTAATTTGCAATTGAGGACTCTTCAAACTTTCTTACTTTTTAAAATTTGATACCCAAAGTTTTTTGACACTTTGATACCCTAAGATATACACCTTTTTAACTTTGATATTAAAACTCTTTTGATACTTTGATACTCCAAAGTTTACATATTTATTGACTTTCTATAGATTCCACATTTTTACCTTGATACATCAAAATTTACGCATTTTTAAACTTTGATGCAGTAAAATATGGGAATGTGCAAACTTGAAAAGCGTCAAAAATCCAAGAAGTTTAGGGTATCAGAGTTAAGAAAAGTGAAAATTTTAAGGTATCTAAGTGTCAAAAAATTTTAGGATGATATCGTTAAAGTAAACTTTAGAATACCAAAATGCAAATAACCCTTTTTTTGGAACAAAATGAGTTTTAAGAGAGAAGTCATAACTAAGGGGTATTTTGGTCCTTGAGGGACCAAATTGCAAGAGCCCTTACGATTTGGGGGACTGATGATCAATTATTCATACTTTAGGGACCATGATTGAATTATTGAATACGTGAGGGACTAATATCTAAATAACCCTCTCAAAATTTACACATCCTTATTTTCATCTCGTCCAAACCGGCATATTCTAATCGCACGCCGTGCTCGGTTGAGAAACCCCACGCAAAGAATTCGAAAACCAACCGAAACGCTCGCGATCTCTCAATCGCTCCTCCTCCTCCTCCATCTCCGGCGACCAATTATTGCGATCCCCGACGCCATTCGAGCATCACCAACCCTAGGTCAGCCACTCCAAGTTTTAATTTCTTTTGATTAATTTCATCAATTTCTGATAAATTTGCTCCTAATTGTTTTCTATAGAGAGAGTAATCGAAGAATCCCTCTTTTTAAAAGGTCGGCGAATCATTCCAACGGATGCGGTATCTTTTATCTCGTTCTTTATCGGATTCTCGCGGGTCTCGTACGAATCAGGTTCGAACTCATTATGTTCTTTTTTTTGCTTCTCTATAAATTAGGGGTTTTGCGAATATTTTTTTTATGTTTGTCATGCAATCATGGATCTTAGAGGAGGAAAAGAAGCGGAATGTTGGGTAATCTTTTGTTAGCAAGTTTTCTTCTATTATTGTTTGTGTGGTTGTACTTTGATATGTTTATGTTCCTCATTGTTTTTTATGTTGCAAAATGTTAGAGGAATTCGTGTGATGGGATTGGTCATTTACAAAAGACCGAATTTTTTTTGGAAGATTGTAGGAGTTTTGCGGATTTTAGGCTTGTGGGCTCATGATTAAGGAAGGTCTTGACCTCTTGGTGTTTAGTTTGATTTTTTTTTTCTTTTTTCGATGTGAAGTGTTGCCATCCTTGAAGAGGGAAGTCACCTAAGTCATTCTTGTCACACCCTTTTAGCTCTTTGTCATCTGTGCATCCGAATCGATCTTCATGGAAGTTCAAGAATGGATTACAGGATATTTGAAAAAGAAAAGCAAACAATGTGCTCAATCCTCTTATTTAATGCTCAATATTCCAACTAATATTTAGCAGCAGGCCTACAGCTTGAGGAATGGAAAAGGAAATTCTGATGACTTTGTTTAGGATGTTTGGAAATTTCTCTACTATTTAAGTAAATAGTTTTTGTAGTAATATATCCATGTGAACAGCACTGACAGGGGGGGATCTGTTTATCTTTCCCCATTGTGAATATGATTCCTTAGATAGTTCTTAAAAGAGGGGAGTTTTTTTAAAAAGACCTTTTTTGCTAAATAATTAGCAAAACTGATTGTTTTGCTAATTATTTAGCAAAACTAGAATATTAGTTCTTCGAAACATACGAGACTATTAGTCCTGTATGTTTAGTGGACACTAATTGGCCACTAATCCTAAACCAGAAAACCCACGGGACTACTAGTACTGGAATATTAGTTCTTCGAAACATACGAGACTATTAGTCCTGTATGTTTAGTGGACACTAATTGGCCACTAATCCTAAGCTAGAAAACCCACGGGACTACTAGTCCTGTGAGTTTGTTCCACTCCACAAAAGATAGAATCCACAATTTACCCTTCAAAGGAAATTTAGCAATGCCCATGTCATATGCTTCACCTTTCTACAGAGAAATATATGCAAAAACTCAATTTTGTTTGAGTCGTCACGCAAGATTTTTTCACCCCCAACAACAGCCCTTCAACCTTCAATTTCTCCACAAACAACAAAATATAGGGCTAGAATTAGGGTTTAGGGCTTAAGCTAAAAAGCACAGACTAACCAAATCCTCGTTGATGATGTGGCATTCGAACTCCTCGTCCCATCCATCGTGGAGTCTTTGGTCCTGACGAGATCGCTGACGTTGATGTGGCGGAGCACGGTGGCGTCCGCCAGCAGAGAGCACGTCGTCATCTTCCCTATCCCCGGCGTCCCGGTCACTAGAAGGTTCAACCCCGACCTCCCTTAGCCTGCCATTGCTGCAAATATGTAATTGTTAGGGGGCGAAATGCAAAATTTCCCCTTTCGCGGGGATCGGCGGAGTGAAAGAGATTTCGTGGGGAGGGAGGGGTCGCTACTGTTTAGCTATCCGTCAAAGATGTTGTAAATGTCAGTATACTTCACAATAATAAAGAGAATATATACATTTATAAACCCACGGGACTAGTAGTCCTGTGGGTTTTCTGGCTTAGGATTAGTGGCTAATTACTAGCCACTAAACATACGAGACTAATAGTCCCGTATGTTTCGAAAAACTAATTTTTCAAAACCGACATCTTTTTGGCCAGTTGGCCAAAAAGAGGACGGTTTTGCTAAATAATTAGCAAAACGGTCGGTTTTGCTAATTATTTAGCAAAAAGAGTTTTTTTTAAAAAAACTCCTAAAAGAGGTTCTTGATACTCCTAATATCTACTTCTCTTTCCAAAATATATTTTTTGCTACAAACTCTCCCTTTTGAAAAAGGAGAAAGACAAAAGTCAAACAAAATTAGGATAGTCCTTGGACCCCAATTTGATATTGCATAACCCCTTACTTCACTTTTATCTTTTTATTGTGTTATACGTCCCCTACGATAGTGATGAGTTACTGTATTGAAATCATAGTATAGCTTTTATCAAATGTGCTTCTCTGCCTAAATCTGGTATGACTATTAAGTCAGTGTGAACATATTGCAGTCAATTCACTTGCTTGTTTTCCACATAGGTTGTGAACTGTGAGGTTAACTGTTGTACATGGATGTTTGGTCTGTTTCTTACCTTTCAATTGATTATATGTCTGTCAAACTCTAATCATGGTCACCAGTGGCATATATATGATACTTTGGTCCTGTGCTTGTCAGAGTTTTCTGAAACATGACGCATGAACCTTCTAAAAGGGTGGAAGAAGATGCTACTTTGGTAGTAAGTTCAATACACTCTTAAATTCTCTTTTCTAGGCTGTAATTGTAAAAAAAAACTTCTCGTTGCATGGTTTCCTTAAAGTTTAAACTTATGCCTGACAAGAGGCGTTGTAGAAATTTATTTACTGCCTGTAGATGTACTAAATCTAACTAGTTGATTTAAATCTAATACAATTCACACAATTCGATTAAATCTTACATATTTCAACAGACCAACGCACAAAAAAAAAAAAAAAAACTAATCATCAATATTGGACTGAACTCCTTTAGTCTTTCAAAGTTTTACCATCTTCAAAATTCAGGCTCAAGGATGAAGACCCTGACAAAACAAGACTTTCCTCCGGCCAAATTGGTGACCCCCTTTTATGAATTGGGAAACCCTTCCAGTGGATTGGAGTATTTAAAAAACAGGGTGAAGTTGGGGCTTTTTGCTGTCGATGGATGAGATTGAACAGTTGCCATCGATGGAGTCTTTGGCGAAATGAAGATGAAGAATAAGACTTAGGGTTCCGCCGCTGCTAGGGTTGCCGGTTGGAGTTTCATTGTTTCTGTTTTTACTGAGTTAAGGGGTCCTCATTTGTAGTTCACATGAGTGGAGTGGTGGAACCCGGGATTGGGTTTGTGTGGATTTCAGGTTTGGGTATAAGGAAAACAATGAAGTTAAAAGGGAAACCCGCTTTCGTAGATATACTTCTAATTACAACTTGATATCCTTATCCGTATCTAAAAATTTAAGAAATATAGTTATCTGTATCCAACCCAAAGTTAAAAACCATATCTGTCTGTGTATATGTAACCACTTGGCTACAAATTTTACTATCCATCTCCTCATAACGGCAACGGTCCCTGATAGGACTGGATTGGATAAATCCATATCTGTTTGCACCCTTAGTAAGAGAACTCAAATTCAAATATGCCCCCATAGTTTATCTCACAAATCTATTAAGCCCTTAATTTATTACTTCAATGATTCAATCTATTAAGCCCCTATGGTTTTGGTTTTGATTCTGTTTAGCCCCACGATAGTTCTTCATAACTAAGGAACAATAATTTTATCTTATTGAAATTATTCTTATTAACAAACAGCTAGTCAAAGAGATTCTAAGTAAAAAATAACCAAAAACAAAAGGAAAATCACCCCAAATGAGGTTTATCAGACTTCAGATTGCATGAGATGAAATAAGCAGGATCATTTACCCCACAATAATCTCCCACAATTCCGATCGAGGGATTATAAATATCTCATGTAAGTTGTATGTGACTAATTTTGCAATATTCCAAGTTTAGCCTGACCAGTTTTGATTTTGGTAGTGTTTTGGGTGTTAAACCACTATTGGGGCTAACTAGAATCAAAACCAAAATCACGGGGGCTTAATAGGTTAAAATAATAGACCAAGGGCTGTATAGATTTATAAGGTAAACCACAGGGGCTTACGTGAATTTGAACTCTTAGTAAGACCTTAGTATATCGATTGAAATTGTTGTAAAAGGTCTCTTAACTAGTAAACTAATCTTCACTAGAACTCATCCTAGCTAATTAACTGTGGTCATAAATAAAGGGTCATTCCAGTTCCTCTAACTTTCGGTTCAATAAAAGTTGAACGCTACTATTTGGCTACTAGGAATAATAGTTTGTTTTGTCATTCATTTAAGTTAGAAAAAAAATCATGCATTGTAGTATTTTTAATTGGAAGTTCGTATCTAACTGGATGCTTCTCTGCATCTGATGGTGAGCTAGTCACTTAATTTATAGAACACGCTCTTTCTCTTCCCCTCTATGTGCATATATTTAATAGACTTCTTTTTTTTACTGTTTTATATTGCTGAAACAAAATGATTTGACAACTAAATTGAGTTATTCTCTTTCTTCGGTTCTGCTGAGGAAGCTATACTTGATGAGGGTCAGGAATTAGTAACATTTTCTCCACCGAGCAAAACTCCATCCGAAGGTAGTTCCACAATCTCTGATTGTTCTGGTGAAGTTAGCACAGCTCCATCTGTGCTTGATAGTAGACAGACAAGTTCTGTAGAATGTCGTCCTGAGGATAGATCTCAAGCCCTAATGTCGACCAGTCTCTTCCAGAATGGAACATCAATTTTTCAAGGGTATGCGTTTATCTATGATCACTTCTTGATCTTTTTAAATTTTTTAAAAACTATAATTATAACCATAAGAACTCAAGGGATCTCCACAGCACAACGTACCTCCTCAATACCTATCTAGATATGCTGTTTCATGGAAGCTAAGATCAATGAGAAACATAAAATGGATGAATTGACGATAAAAGGGAAATCAATTCAAGCTTTCTATTTAAGATGAATGGATATGAGACCACTTATAGAAAATTAAGATAAGAAGAGGACAAAATTTAGGCAACTTTGTACCATACTTTAAACTTAAGAATTACTTGATTTTTTCTGTTACTGTTGAGGTGTTGTTTGGAGTTTTTTAAATTATTGTATTACAGTGTATTCTGAAACCAATACTTGTTACCTTGACAAAGCAAATGAACATATGTGGACAATAAACTGAACAAAGTTGGAATAACAATTGTGTTCCCTTACCCATATCTTCTTTTGCTTGTGATGTTTGGCTTTTGTTTAGTTAAATCCATATTACCATCATGGATAAGCATTTAGTGAGCTGTTATTTGGTTGCAATTACAAGATATCCCAATTGTTTCCTTGGAAGACTGTAGTAAGGATCCTGTTAAAACTGTTTGTATCATAACATGTGGCATGATCCGAAGACACAACCATGACCCTATAGTTTTCTTTATTTTGTTGATGCATTTTCTTATTACTTGTGCAAGTTAAGAATGTTTATAGACATACCTCCACGTGTAAGAAACTCTTCGGTATGAATTTTGCATTCATATTATATGTTGTGCATGCTAATAAGAACATACATGTACTCCCTTATCAATCTTCAGATATCAACTTTGAAAAAGTTAGCATAGTGAACTTTGTCTATATATTTAAACCATGCTTCGTATTCTCTTCCCACATACTTTTAAATTGAAGTAGCACTTGCTTTTCGTCGTGGTAATACATTACAACAGCAAAGCCTTTATCCTAACTTTTTGAGATCAGCTCACACATGAATCCTATTCTTCTTTTCCATTCTATTCAAAGCCATCTCCTTTGTTGACTAATATCGTCTCCTTTTTAATTGCTCCAACCCAAGTAAAAAAAAAAGTAGAAGCCATGATTTAAATCAAGGGTTTCCAATAACCTAGTATAAGCCTTCTCTTCAAGGTAATGTGTTTCTTAAATGTTTTATATATTTTTACTCTGAACTTTATGGAGTTATGAGATTTACATAATTGTGTTGAATGATACTGGAGTTAATAACACCATTATGGCATTTTGAAAAGGAAACTCATGAGTTTATAGTAGAATTGAAAAAAGCTATTTGATCATCTGTTTCATGTGAATTCTTATGCACTTAACGCTAGTCATATGCTATCATTGTTCTTTTTACCTCAGATATTCATGTATATTGATCTGTTTTTTATGCTTTCGATACCGATATTAATTGACGCATCAGTTTTATTTGGTGAGTTCCATGATTTTTCTGCTTAAGTGATAACCTTTTTTGTTGGGAAGTACGATTTCTTAAAGTTATTTTTTATTTTTCAGATTTATCTCCCGGGCTCGAAAAACTGTACAGGGCTCTGCAGATGACATTGGATGGCTGCAACGTGAAGCAGGCATGCCTCATGTTGAAGATGGAACCAAACGGTTTATGGAGCTGCTTGAAAACATCAGGTCTGTATTACCATAATCAAATTTATGTCAATAGTCAAAGAACAAATTTGGTTTAACCCTTTTAAGCATAAATGACGACCGGCCCCTAATGGAGCTGGACAGATGAAAAGAATTCATATAGTCAACACCGAGGACTTTGAATTGGGAACTATGTTGTTATTGCTGTTCTTGATTCTGTAATTATGGCTATCATTGTTGTATAAAATGATATGAGGTTAAGATTCTCCATACAATACTAACATCTCCTCCTTTTCAGAAATAATGAGCATAAGCTGCCAAATACAATGGTGTACTTGTTGGTTCCTGGTAAGTTTTCATTGATGTCAGTGTTCACAAGCAAAGTTCAGTCAATTAATGTTATATCCTCACATCAAATTTTTGTTTGGCAGGACTTTTTAGTAATCATGGCCCTCTTTATTTTGTTAACACGAAAACATGTTTCTCAAAAATGGGCCTGACGTGTCATATTGCTAAGATTCACAGTGAGGTACCTTCCTAGCTGTACGTTACTCTCTTTTATTCTTGTCATTGTCTCATTCAGCCTTCAAGCTTTTCATTTTATTGCTCAGGGTTCAGTCGAAAAAAATTCTAGAGAGATAAAAGACTACATTGAAGAAATTTACTGGGGTTCCAAGAAGCGTGTAATGCTTCTTGGACACAGCAAAGGAGGAGTAGATGCAGCAGCTGCCTTATCTTTATACTGGTCTGATCTGAAAGATAAGGTTGCTGGATTGGCATTAGCACAGAGTCCCTATGGAGGAAGCCCAATTGCTTCGGATATTTTGAGAGAGGGGCAGCTCGGAGATTATGTTCGATTAAGAACACTAATGGAGGTCCTAATATGCAAAGTTATTAAGGTACCCTTTGTTTAGGATTTCTTCTTCTTTGCATACAAATTATTCTTGTTCTTCTTCTTTTGTAGGATACGTACTTAGAGGTAATTGCTTATTTCTATTTTGGTAATGAAAAATGGGAGAGGACTTCCTATTTACCATTTGCCCGTGTGAGGTGATGTCAACGCCGGCTTTTGTTGTCCTCATAGTAGTACCTAACTACGCTAGTAGTAGTAACGCTAGTAGTAGTACAAATTAGTAGTACAATTAGCATTACTCATTCTTATATTACTATTATATTTGTGGCAAATTGTTTTAGGAGTTGTATACACTTTACATGTTCTTTTTAGAATTGAAACCTTCGATAGACATCCCCAATACCATGGTCCCGAGCACCTCTTGATCTAGAAGGAAAAATACTGTTAGGAATGCGATTATTGGTTTTTTCAGATTTTAATTTATTGGCAGAGATCATATGCTTCTCTTGATATGGAGTCATACATGCCTTCAACATTTAAATACATCACTTCTGATTTTCTTCAATTTTCTTCTTAAGGGTATTATTGCTAACCATAGTTGGTAAGATTCCTTTTCACTGTTATTCATGTCAACTCCATACTAGCTGCTGCTGCAATTCTTGTTGGGTTTCCTTGTTCTGCATGTTTTAATGTTCGTTGTCTAGCCCCCTGTTCCTACAATGTTCTCTTTTTCACACAGAGAGCAATAATTATTCTTAAGTAAATGCAAGTAACAGCAAATAGTTGTTACTTGTTAGATGGCTGCAATGAATAGCTCTTCTGTGAGGGCATAAAGTTTGCATGTAGTTTACTGATATACGATATATTGATTTAATTAATATAGAATTCCTCGTATGAACTTAAAACAGAACTAGTTTCTAATGTACTCTCATGCGTTATCTTTTCTTAACCTACATTATGATTTCTTTTCAAAATCCTCTACTTACAGGGTGATATGCAAGCTCTTGAAGATCTAACTTATGAGAGACGAAAAGAGTTCTTAAGAAAACACCCGCTGCCCAAAGAACTCCCAGTCGTCTCCTTCCACACTGAAGCTGGACTAGCTCCAAGCGTCCTAGCCACATTATCCCACGTCGCTCATGCCGATCTCCCTCCCATCGTCGCCAATGGCCAAGCTTCCAAGCTTCCGGTAGTAATGCCTCTTGGTGCTGCAATGGCCGCTTGTGCTCAGTTACTTCAGGTGAGAGAACAACAGTAACATAAAGGCTTTATCTAGAATTTTTTAGGTCGGCTACATGAATCATGTTCCTCCACTCAGTTCTATTTTGGGTTCATCTCCTCCTTTAAGTTAATTATTCCTTCTTAATTGCTTTTAACCATGTTCTTTTAGGTCTACCTCTAGATCTTTTTGCCCCATTAACTATAACATTTTTACTTTTCCTAACCGGTGTGCTAAGATATCTCCGTTGTACATGGCCTCATGCGCTTAATTACTTCAAATGAGATGACAAAGATAACAAAGCCTTCTTCCCAAATTTTTGGGGTCAGCTACATGTACTTGTTTTCTCCATTCAGTTCTTACTTGAGTCATCTCCTCCATTAACTATTACCATATCCTTTTTAATTGATTCTAAGTAAGTTTTTATTAGGTCTTTCGCTAAATCTATTTGTCTCATTAACTATAATAGTATCACTTTTCCGACCGATGCACTAAGAGGTCTCGATTCAATAATTTATCCTAAATATGAGCAACCTCTAATATTCTACGAATGCACTCATATCTTATACCATCTTCAATTACTTCAGGTAAGATACGGCGAGAAAAGCGATGGGCTTGTTACGAGAAGAGATGCTGAGGTTCCTGGCTCAGTTGTTGTTCGGCCTGATAAAAAACTGGATCATGCATGGATGGTGTACTCTTCGATTAATGATGATACGGGCGAGGCAAATGCTGCAGAGGTGTGTGAGGCTCTTCTCTCGTTGCTAGTCGAGGTTGGGCAGAAGAGAGAGCATGAGATTACGGGGAAAAACGAGTGATTTTGGTTGATTTGTTGTGTTGAATTTTGCCTGTAAGATGCCAGAGTTGTGTTTTTGATCGCACGTCGTCAATTGTAGAACTTTGTATATATTCTGTATATTTGTTGGAATCATTTTACATTTTTATATGGTGTTTAATGAAAAGTTTACCAATATGGTGACGATTTAGGTTGTGAATGTATTTACTAGCTGCCAACCTGCAAAAATGCTTGTATTGTGAGAGTATATTTCTGATCGTTTTTTGTGTAACTATATTAGCCTTGCAGCCCTTAGATACAATATCATGTTTTTATAGGCTCGATTGATCTTAGAGATATCCCTTTTGGATTAAATAAGGGAACTTTGGGGTAGTTTCTTTAGCAGAGAGGGTTAATTCTAGTTGAACAACAATACGAATGAGCTATTTTGTATATCACCCTATGAAAAGTAAGTATAAGAACGCTAAAATAAATAGAAACATAGTTTGGTCATGATTTGCTTTGAAATTATACCTAGTTTTATATCTAAATTCCTCTAGTTATACGAATAATTACCTCCATTGGCTTTAAGTTAAAGTCTTATTTTCTTGTATTTGCCCTATTCTTACTTAAAAACAGTCTTATTTTCTTTATGACGCAAAAATTGTGTGATGTCTCTTTCGAAAGGGAAAAATAATTTCTTTTCCAACCAAGAAGTATAGTTTAGTGCTTCAATAAAAAAAGAGAGGAAGAAAGACAAACTTAGACCTATCCATCCGGGCCGGGCAAAACAGAAGCTCGGACCCGAGCTCGGGCCTGAGCGGGCCAGGATCCGGACCGATCCGGTTTTTTTATTTTTAATTTTTTTAAATTTAAAAAAACAATAAAGCATAAAATATACATAAAAGATAAAAAAAATAACATAAATTTTTTTAATTAATTGAAATGATATAAATTACAAGTACAAAAAATTATAAAAATAAAAGATGATAAAAATAATTTTTTTATTAATAATCATGTCATTCATATATTATACATAAACAAATTGTAAGTACTTCTAGAAATTACATAAACAAATTGTATTATACATAAACATATATATAAAAAATATAAATTATATATATATATATATATATATATATATATATATATATATATATATATATATGCATACAAGACAACAAGTAACAGCCGCATACCACGGTTCGACGGGCAAGAACTTTCAGCCATTGACTTGCGTTTCACCCAAAGACGATAGTCTGCCGATTCCGAACAACCAAGGTTGCATTTCTTAGGAATGCGTACCTGTTGTGCACCCGCTTACATCAGAGCTCGCTTTTTTAATTAAAGCCTTCAGAAGACCGGCGGCTCCGCTCCAAGCTAAGAGGCCTCTTTAAGAGTTTGCATTTCTACAAACGATAGCGCAGTTACAAATGAGCATAATGAGATGTTAATCCCACAAATTCTGAAAACCAAATTATGCGTAACAATGCTACCAATCTCTGGGCATAACATCAGCCGACGTACCAACGCCCTTCTGGTTTATGTTGCGTCTCGCTTTTGTTGCGACCGGCACTAATTCTGGGAGTACATTGATCTTCTATCATCATAGGGTCTATAGGAGTTAGAAGGTTGAGGTTCAAGAACTGATGCATTGCAAATCAACCTCAGTTCCCTGCCATGGCACTGAGTTCGCCTAACCCTCAGTCGATCAGACGCTACCAATGATTATAGTAGGTATCCAGCTTCCAGCAACTTCGGTCCTTATAATTCAAATACTTATATGCGTTAATCAAGTTAAAATATATATGTATGCATATATGCGAGTTTACAGCAATAAAGGGTCTTACTTCCAGAAGGACCTGCTTCTGTGCAACCTGACTCCAACACTGGAATTCCGCTGGCTGCCACAGGAGTTTTCCCCGCATAAATAAGTCGCGGATATACTTCATGCGTCGCCTTCAAGAGATTGAAATCGAGCTGATGTTCATTGAAATCCTCAAACCTCTGTTGTTATGCGTGCGGTCTCTCCGCCCAACGGATTCGCTGCATTGCTGACATCTACAAAACGTGTTGAGTCGTAAATGACACGTAGAATATTAAACATAATTTGCCTCAAGACCCAAAAAATGATTTTACCTTCATGGTCGGCGGCGGATTCAGAGAGCTTCACTATTTGCTACCTCGCTTCTTTTAATTTACTAAAAGCGAGAGCAAAGTGCACACGAGTCATTAAGAGGGAGGCCACACCGGGTCCGCATTCATTCATTTCTCGGATTTCTTCTTCCGCAGAGGAGGCGAGGAAAAGATCAGTACCTGTGTCCCGTAGCGGATGCGGATACAACGCTCAGGACGTTGGAGGCAGGTCAGCTGGTCCTTCTTTCAGAAACGTCTTTGCATTTGCTGGACGAAGCTGGTCTCCTCAAGTCTCTATACCTCCTAGGAGAAGCCAGCCTCCAACTCGATATTCTCCGCTCTTCTTGACTCTCTACAGAAATTGGCAAATAGTGAGTCGCAGCCATTCTAAAAAAAAATGCCCTAAGAGAGATGAAAACAAATCGCTACCTTGCTCATCAGAAGAAGTACTACCGACCGCGATGTCTCTTCTACAGCAGGAAAGATGAACGCTTGCGGTAGAACAGCTTTCTTCTGTTTCTTCAGAGGGCGTGCCACCAGCAACCTTTCATGACGATGTTTGGCTGCGTAACTCACTCGCGGGAGAAACTTGAGTTTGAGCTCGAGTAGAAGTTCGCAGATATTTTTTTTACCGACGAATGAGAGGCACCATATCCTCTTCATCCTCTATCGCCTCGCCCAACTAAGAACTTCTACTGTTCATCCGGTTAGGATGTTTCCATTGACGCCACTCTATTCCTTACAGCTTTCTTTTGGAGCCCAGCTTTGTGGATTGCGTCGGAAGGACAGAAGCGCCCCTTACAAGTCCTCTAATCAAAGAATGAATCGGGGAATGGCCAGATACTTCCTCGCAAACTTGGATTCAATTCTCGTACTTTCCCCTTCTGAAGTTTCGGTTGCTTCACTATCAAACTCCTCTTTCACTATCAACTGAGCCAGGCAGCCGCGTTCCTTTCCTTTTCCTTGATGATTCAGCAGCCTCTTTTCCTCGAGGCGACATCACAGGCTTCACGAGGCGGTTTTGTTCGCTTTCGCTGGACTATTTCCCTCCTCTGCAGTCTGATATCCTTCCTACGGTTCGAGTGGCAATATTGCGTGGCCTAATCAGCCATTTGCCAAAGAGGAAGTTCATCCGTAGATACGGCCGGGCGTCCTTAACGGCGCGGCAGATCAAATTCAACATTGCTGCAGCACCGGCCAATTGCTCCAAAAACCCAAGCTCTCGCCCCGTCGATAGGTCCACCTCGAAAGCTGAGTGGGTGGCCTATTCGGGCGCTGTTTGCCGATGTATATCTGATCATACCCGAACTGACGCGGTCTGCGCAATTCGACATGGAAGATAGGGTTCGATGTGGCAAACATCCCTTGATCCTGAACAACAGATACTCCAGGTCGAATATTCATCAACATCTGAAGCACCCGACATCCAAGGATGCTACGATTCTGCTTGCGTCCTTCAGCATCCCACTAAGGTAGTGTTTAAGGTACCGGAGAACTGAGCCGCGAAGCAGGGAAAAAATTTCCCAAACATTTGTGAATTTTAAAAACTGGCCCTCGTTATGTCCGGCTCTCGATGTTTGCTCCATTGCAATTCTCGCAGATTTTGCAACAGAAGGGGACACTGAGATCTACCGTTATCAGGAAGCCCTCCATTAAATCTGAGTCGCATGAAGCTACCAACCAGGCCATTAAGTAAGTATAAAGGCAGCTCAGCTTTCGGGAACGGACAGGCCTGGCGGAAGGTTTCTTTTTCTCCTGGCTAAATGCGGAGCATTTAGTTCCGCAATTCCACTATGAATATCGGCCACCATAAGCGCGCGAAGCAAAGCGATAATTTGCGACCTGTAGCCAGCTGGACGGGCGGCACTACAACACTTCCATATCGGCATCGCCATCTTCGGCATGATGTGCGAACTACACATCTCTTTAACCAATAAGCGCTAGGAAAACCTGCCACGCAGAGCAGTTAGGCGCTAATCCGGAACACCAGCCTTGCCACAGATAATAGCGCGAACTTGTCGAGTGCCGCCCTGCCAAAAATCCATCTCTGAGCGCGAAGTATATAGATTGCGCGCTGCGTATTTCTCTAACAGACGCGTATTTAATTTCATCCATACTCAAAGGAGACAATCCGCACACATCTGCCGATACGAACATCCAGGCTTCTTGAAGAGATAATCAGCGAATGCTTTTAAACTGACTTGAGGAGCACTTCTTTTCTGCTTTGCCGCTCCATCTCGCGCCATGGCTATATGATAATGACAGTGCTCAATTCCCCATAGAGTGTTCATAGCGCTCGCAGTTGAGCTATCTTTCATTCTTAATCAGCTGATTGGTGCCCGTCGCGAAAGAACTTCTTGATATGGCGACATCGCCCCATTAGCGCAAAGCAGACACTTGCATCATTTCATGCCCAGTGCGTTAGTCCCAATGCTCCCCGTTACTTGCTACAAGAATGTATTGGCTGTCCGCGGTTGTTAGATCTCGCAAAACCAAACAAAGCGAAATGACTTACACTGCTCTGCAAGCCATTGCATCGGTGGCACGAATCGCCGCGACATCCAAACCCTAAATTCCTGCTAATCTCGCCCCCAACGTTTCAAACACATATTGTGGTCATCCTAGCGCACTCCAACCACCACTTGCTTCCCGGATATAATGCGACCCATCCATAACACCTGAAACGTCTCTCTGGCGCAAATCTTTTTTCCTTGCTTGCCCGCCTAACCGGTTCTTCACAGTGTTGCGCTTGCACCCATCTTTTCGTCTCTGAGCGAATATTGTCTTGTCCTAAGACACCCGGCATGAAGTCCTCTCACATGAGCTACTTTCACTGGGAACCTGCGAGGTGCTTCCCCTTTGCAATGAAACCACAATGAATGTGCTCGTCGGTTTTCGGTTAATTTCCAGAACAATCTCTCCGTTCCAACTGAGTTAGGTCCTGAACATTAACAGTGAATGATCCCGCAGGATAAAAGGCAGATATAAGTAATGATGATCCACTCTGGGGCACGCAACCATTGCGCAGGCCTGGCCCAGAAAGCAATCTTTCGGATCTTTTACCCCGCGTCCATCAAATAATGA